AAAGCTGTCCTCCCGCCTGGCCTCACCATGCCCACAGCCGCCAGTTCCAGCCTCAGCCCGGCACTCCCCGAGCTCCAGCGTTGCACAGCAAACATCTCCTGACGTTCCCACTCGGGCTCCCCAACTTCTAACCCACGGCTGCCGGTGGGCCCCCAGCCAGCCCACCACCTGACCCCATCAGCTGGACTCCCGATATACAGCTTGAATGCAGCCACGTCTCTCCCAGGCTCCGCTGCAGCCCCGTGGAGGCTCCTGTCACCTGTCGCGGACCTCGCCGTCTGCCTGCGTGCTCCCATGCCCCACAGCCCAGTCCCTGCCACAGCCCATAACTGCTCCAGGCCAGGCTCACTGACCTCGTGGCTTTCTCTAACCAGCTGAGCATGGGCTTACCTCGGGGCCTTTGCATATGCTGTTCCCTGTGCAGAGCTCTCCAATGACACATTCATATGTCTTTCTCCCTCTCTTCCTTGAGACCTTCGCTTAAGTGGTGCCTTTTTTTTTTATAGGTTTTCGCTATAGGGCGCGTGTGCTCTCCAGAAAGAGAGAGACAGAGAGAGACAGAAAGAGAGAAATCACCCCCCAAGGTGGATGGCCATGCCACAATCCCTTCTCCTCCATTTTCCTCTCAGGATCTTGGGCACGTACATACACACACCTGGCATGAGTTTAAGCCACCAAGGTTGGGTGGCTCGAACCGCGGTTGACTACATGGGAGCCCAGCAACATAGCCATTACGCCAACTGCTGGTCCTAAGTGGCGCCTTTTCAATAAAGTCTCTTGGCCATCCTATTTTAAACTCGCAACCCTCAGCCCCACCCCTCATTCCTTGATGCTGTGTTCCCAGTGGGTAGTGCACATGCCTGCCACACGGTAGGTGCTAATGCAGGAATTCATCTGTCTCTAAATTCCATCATCCAGAAGCCTCAAGAAATGTTGCCCTGATGAACTGGAAAGTAGAAATCTGAAGTCCTGGACGTGCTGTCTAAATTTACCCTGAGGATTCTCCTTCCAGCTTTCAGAAAGGACCAGCCACGTGTGCAGCTGACCTGCTGCTTGTGCTGCAGGGAGCCGGTTGGTGGCAGGTCCCATGGCAGCAGCAGAAAGCAGTAGCGCCTCTTCAGCTCAGCGTGCAAGAAAGCCACAGCGCCCCTGCGAGTTTCTGGCAATGGAAATTCCGGAGAATTCCCTTCCTCCAGGCAGGAAATGATACCGTCGTCTCTGTGAGGCCTTCCTTGATTCCTCTACAATAAATCATCGCTCCTGCCCGAGATCCTGAGGCTGTTCTTTTTAGGCAAATAACCCTGACAACCAGCGTTTTGCAGTTTTAAACGACTTCACACACATTTTGCTCATTGGACTGGGAAGGGAGGTCACTTAGCTAGTTTGAATCCTGGTGGAGCCCTGATGGGAAGCTGCCGAGGCACTGCACGCGGAACCCAAGCTTCTGTTTCAGCATACACCGTTCCCACTCCGACTAGCAAAAGATGTGTGAAATCGTTTAAAACCTCGCAATCATGGCTCCTAAACGGCAGCTTTTCTGAGCCTCATCTTTCCCCATCTGAAACACAGGTGGAGCGACAGGCCTGCCACCCAGCTGTCCTGTCGTACACCCCTGGCACACGGTACGTGAGCCCTTCGGCGTCTTTCCAACAACCTGGAGCCCCGTTTTCTTCCAGATGAAGAAACGCAGACGCAGGCGAGTCCCTTCGTCAAGGTTACGAGTGTGTGAGCTCATGCCTGGCCCGTCTCCCGCCGCCCAGTCTTCCTAACATCGCTGTTACCGAGGTTGTGCGTGTCGTTCTGCACTGTGCTCAGGTACTGCCCTTCCCCGCACAGGCAGGCGTCCTCCAAGGCGCTCCGAGCCGCCCGGTACCTGCAGGACCCAGCATTGACCGTCTGCACCACGAGGGGGCGCCATGGGATACAGGCAGCGTGGGGTGGCAAAGAGCAGGGGCTCTGGAGCCCAGGCCTCACTCGCACGGGGCGCTCCAGTCTCTGGTTCTGGAAGCCGGGCGATGAGCCCTAACTCCCAACTTGAGCCCGGCCCTCCGCTCAGGGCACCTTCAGAGCCCATCCTCCAAGTCCCTCAGCCCCCGGCAAGGCCGGTTCCTGGGGCCGCGCGCGCTTCTCCCAGCGTTTATACTATGGAGATGGACCAGTGGCCAATCAGGAGGCGCAGTGGGCCGTGACGTCACGAGGAGCGAGGCAGAAGGCCGCCTGGGGTGGGGAGTGGCGGGGACGGGGAGGGAGAGGACGGAGGGACATGAGACCAAACGGGCCCTGGAGGGGGGAAGCTGCCAGAGGGAAACGGGGAAGCTGCAGGGAGGAGAGAGAGAGACGGGGAAGGGGAGATGGAGAGAGAGAGACGGGGAGATGGAGAGAGAGAGACAGAAGGGGAGATGGAGGGAGAGAGAGACGGGGAGATGGAGAGAGACTGGGAGATGGAGGGAGAGAGAGAGAGAAGGAAGAGAGAGATGGGGAGGGGGAGATGGAGGGAGAGAGAGAAGGAAGAGAGAGACGGGGAGAGAGACGGGGAGAGGCAGACCATGAGCGGGGCGCAATGGTGGGGAGACAGCGGAGTGGCTGGGGGCAGGCGCGGGAGGGCAAGGGCAGCTGCAGGCAGGGCTGGTAAGACAGCAGAGGGGCCAGACCGCACAGCCTCTGCGTGAGGGTCCCGGGTTCCAGTCCAGAGGCCTCTGAGTGTGCTGGACACGCATGAGCCCGTGGTCTGGGGCTGACTGAGGCTGCGCGCAGATCACGGTGTCGCGACCCTGTTCGGGGTGCTGCCTCTCTTTTTCTCAAGAAATAAATAAACAGGGACCAGCAGTTAGCGTAATGGCTATGTCGCTGGACTCCCACGTAGTCGACCGCGGTTCGCGTCCCGGACCCGGTGGCTTAAAACTCACTCCGGGCGCGTGTGCGTGCGTGCCCAAGATCCCGAGAGGAGAATGGAGGAGAGGGGATTGCGGCGTGACCATCCCCCCTGGGGGGTGATTTCTCACTTTCTGTCTCTCTGTCTCTCTGTCTGGCGAGCATATGCGCCCCAGAGCAAAAACCTCTCCAAAAATAAATAAACAAATAAATAAATAAATAAACTTTGCAGAGAGAGCTTTAGAAAAGACAGAGACAGTAGACAGATGGACCCTCGAGGAGGGGAGAGTGAGTGCAAAACAGAGATGACGCGAGTGTGAAGTGGGTCAGGAAAGGAACGGGGAGACTCAGAAAGGGAAACTGAACGCCAGCCCGAGAGACGGAGACCAGGAGGCTGAGACGGAGACCAGGCGGCTGAGCGGTTGAGCGCGCCAGGCAGGAAGCGGGCTGGGAGAGAGGGTGCCGGCCAGGCGGGGTGGCGAGGCGGTGGCGCAGCACGCGGTGACGGGCTGGGTTGCCAGGTAACCTGCAGTGCCAGGGGCAGGGAGGCTGGGCAGGGGCGGAGACCCTCAGGCTTGAATTTCTCTGTCTCTCAATGAATGGGTACATTTTTCTCACACACAATAAACAAACTTAAAAACAGAGACGGTGCGGGTCACCCGATGAGAGGAAGGAGAGAAGGGGTGTGAGCGAGAGCAGAGATGAGTCAGGAGGGGTCCGGGAGACCAGCCGGTGCCACAGCAGAGAACGGGCAGGAGAGCCGCGGGAGGACACCGACCACACAGGCCGGAGTGCAGGGCGACAGCTGTGCTGCCGGAAGTGACCCCCAGCTAGAGGGAGAACCCTGCCGGGTGTCCACACCTGCCAAGCCCCGGCCTGGCCCGGGCCACTGAGCTGCAAGAACAGGTCGGGTCTCGCTGGCGGTGGGGCTGGGGACCACGGCTTGTGGGCAGGTGGCCTGGGGCTGTCCACTGAGGCTCTGGATCGGGCTGGCTCACGTGCTGTGGGGTCCCCGGAGGCCCCTGCTGGCTCACAGGAGGACCGTGGGCTCGGCCGTGCTGGGCCTGGCTCCGTCTCAAGGACCTGCCGAGCCTCCTCCCGGGCGCTGGCGGAGGCTGGTGCCATGGAGCCCGAGGAGCGGTGCCTGCGTGGTGTCCGGAGCACGGAACCCCGCCAGGGTCTCTGAGACCAGGCCGGCTCATCTAGGGGCCGGGGTTCTGCCAAGCCCGCTGGAGGCCAGCGGGGGCCCCTGCACCCCCCTTCGTGGTCACGTCCCTCACCTGTGTCTGGGAGGCGCCGCGGCGCTGGGGACGGGGCGGCTGGGCGCCCAGTGGTGCCCTGGTGGCGGGTGTGTCCAGGTGCCCCTGCTGTGGGGGTCCCCTTGGCCAGGTCCTCTCCTGAGGTAGGGTCCCAGGTCCAGGGCGGGTAGTCGTCGTCATCTGTGTAGCCTTGAGAGAAATCAGGGCGAGGCTCAGGGGTCCCGGCCGCCCCTCCTCCTGGGGGTCTCCCGGGGCAACCCTGGGACTCCTCGACCCGACCCGAACCCACTGACGCCAAGGTGTCGGCCCACCCTGATGCGGGCGCCCGCCCTCGCTGTCCCCGGTACCCGTGCAGGTGAGTCCCACGTCCTCCTCGTGGTCACAGTTGTGCTCCCCCCACGGCCCCGCAGGACAGTCGCTGAGCGAGGCCTCGCCGCCCTTGCAGCCCACGTCGTCCAGCCAGATGGGCCCGGTTCCAGGGCCGTAGTGCGTTTTGCCCACTCGGGGCCGGACCTTTCCGCAGCCCAGCTCCCAGCAGGCCACGGTGGCATCCCGCAGGTCCCAGTTGTCGTCGCACACCGTCCCCCAGCGTCCAGCGTGCCACACTTCCAGCCGGCCAGCACAGCGGTTGGGCCCGTCAGCCAGACGAACCCGGAAGGGGCCTGTGGTGGAAGGACCGGGTCAGGAGCAGGGGCCTCTCCCCTCGCTCCTGCCCACACGCCCCACGCTCCGTGTGCTCGCCACTCACCCGGCTCCGCGGTGGCGCCAGCAGTGGGGGCGGGGGAGCCTTCTGCTGGGGTCTTGGGAGGCTCCAGGGAGGCCTGAGGGGTGTGCTCAGAGGCCAGTTCCCGGGGGGCTCGAGTGGTTAGCGCGGCAGTGGTCAGCCTCGTGGTAGACGCAGAGGTCGCTGTCCGTGCAGCCCCAGCGGTGGTGGCTGTGGTGGTCCGTGAGGTCAGCCCTGCGGGGCTCTGGGTGCCCAGGCCCCCGGGGCGTTTAGCCGCCGGCGTCACGGGGGGGTGGGTGGTTGGTCTCCTTGCATTTTTTGTCACCCACTTCTTAGTACTCTTGGGCATTTTCCCTGGGGCCTTGGTGGTTCTCTCTGGAACCCTGGAGGTCAGACTGGCAGAGGGCTTGGTGGCCATCTCTCCTGGGAGCCTGGCGTCCGGGTCTCCACCCAGCCCAGGGATCCAGCTCCAACTGAAGGGGTCTGAGATGGAGTCCAGACCGGGGGGCCCTGGGCGGGGGCAGGGAGGAGAGAGGGAGACTGACGCCAAGGCCGTCTGTCCCGGCTCCTCTTCTCACCAGCCAATCACAGTTCCCATCCGTTCGTCCATTCATTCGGTCAGAAAAATTTACCGAGCCCCCCCGTGAGTTGTGCACTGAGTCAGACCCTGGGGTGCTGTGTCCCGCCCACGCGGTCCCACCTCAGAGCTCGATGCGGCTGCCCCTTCTCCCTCTCACACCCCACCCCTCCTCTCTCCCAGCTTCATCGGCCGCTTCCCGTACCTGTGCCTGTACCTGCTGATGGTGTCTCTACCCTGTCACTTCTCAGGAGCCCCAGAGCCACTCCCCGAGGCCCTGGGAAGGGGAAGAAAAGCCATAGCCTCAGCAGGCTCGGCGACTTCACCCTCTGAGGCTCCACTACTCACCTGACTATTTCTCAGCAGCAGGTGCGTGCAGGAAAGGGTTAACGTTGCCCAAAGAAAGGTTTGCCTCTGCCTCGCGGGGTCCTGGGCAAGGATTTCTAAGCCTTGGGAATGCCTTCCTCATGAGGGGGTCTGTTTGCCCGGGCGATTAGGCCACGCCAGGGTAGTCTAACTAGCACTGGTCAGACGCCACGCAGGCCACGTCTACACGGCCAGCCACGCACTCTACGTGGCCAGCCACGGCTACACGGCCAGCAACGTCTAAACGGAC